AAGACAAAGCAAAGAAATTGGACTGCACAAATAAATTATACCAGCATGTATAATACACTTCATACAGGCTATCAATCAGTGTGGACGTATTAAATATGCAGGTTAAGTTCTTACTGCAGCCCATCCACTATATAATCTTTCATTTTGTTATCAGCTTTCTACCAAGGAAAAGAACATATACACTGCAGTACTGTTTCTAAGACCACAGCAGGCTGGATTCAAGCCCAAGAGTAGATATGCTACTCTCTGAACTATCAGAGAAGAAAGCCATGGATAGCAAGCTCACCTCCCCTGCAATTCTGGGAGCTTTCTAAAGCATCTGACTGACAGATTTCATAGGTCAGAAAGTGAGTTACTTTCTATACCCCAGGAATCCCATGAAAGTTATCCGTGCTATGAGGCCACATATGCAGATGGGAAGGGACTTGGAAGGGTGACCTGCCACATAGTAGAAAGGTTCAGCATCACACTGGTGTAAAATAGGGCTACACACCAAACTCCTAAAAGATGTCAACTTTTGTTAATGATAATGTGCTGCTGACCTAAACAGGTACGCTGTGAGATACGGATAATCCTAGTGCGGGCAATGATAAAGAGGCCAAGAGAAACATTTCGGCAGCTATGCCAAAGCATATTATTGAAATCCAAGCACGTGAGAGCAATAACACTAACAGACAATACCTGACCTTTTTTTCTAAATGAATGTATCTTGCTAAAATCAACAGTGTACAGAGATGAAAAGGATAGCACACTAAAAGCATTTGAACGAAAATCTAATATTGGCGTTGGACAGCTGGACATCCAATAAAATATTCAGCATGGACAGAGACATCTTCAAAATAAATGGTTGTTAAAGACTTTAGTTAACAGATGGCAATACGTCATCCACAGCTTTAAGCTAATTTCTCTAAAGAAGGCCACTTCAGCTCCTGCATGAAGCTGCTTTATGAAAACCCAGTAGCATGAGGAAGCAAAAGCATCTGTCAGAAGCCTTGTGAAAAACCCACAGCAGAGATGGCACAGAAATTCATCTCTCCATGCACACAACAGACGGAAGATGCAACAACGGGCGGAAAGGAGATGAGGAGACTGGTTTCCTGCCTGTGTTTCAATGATGGTCACAGAAACAGTGAATAAAGGACCACAGATTCGCTTATATGACAGAAAAGTAGAAGAGAATAACCTATTTCCATATCGCCACTCTCCCTTCCTCTAAAAGATCATATATACTTTCTCATCAATTTGCAGGAGGGAAAACAGCCTACCTGGGGCTAGCACTATGAGGTTTTCCAGCACCTCATTTTCTGCAGCAGAAACATCCTTTCTGACTTTGAGTTGCACATGCAGCTATATTTCTGATCTCAGGGAATGCCTTAAAGTTTTTTTTTTTTTTTAATAGACAATAAAAAAATATAATTACTTTCTTATAGAAGGTTTAGTGTCTGGTGGCAATGTTCTCCTGGGAGATCTTTCCCATCCCCTGGATTGCAGTGGCTGTCCTTCTCAGCAATGTCTGGAGAACAGAGTGGATGTGAGACTGGTGCTGATGCAGACAAACTGCTGGATATCTAGTAGCTGCAGTCTTGGTGTCCTGCCCTGCAACTGCTCTTCATTTTGTTTGATCTCCAAGGCCTTGTCCTGGTCTGACATGTGATATCTCACGTTCTATGAATGAAGTTTGAATTTGTTCAGTATTTCAAAGGGGAAACTGAAATAAGTCTCTGAGGCCAGAAGAAAAACACCTAGGTAAAAGGTTTGCTTTTCAGATTATTCTTTTCTACATATTCCATGGTTTCCACCTAGAACTATCTCTGTCCTGACAGGCTTGACTACCTGCTGTTCCTCTCCTGCCCTTTGCCGTTTCTCAGGGCCAGCTATTTCCCTGTGATGAATGCACCTAAGCCTTTGAGGTTTCAAGTCTTCTGATGGATCACAACTGTGATCTTTTAAGAGCAGACAATTAGTGAGTTTGTGAGGAGCTGAGGCAGAGTTCAAGAACTTCTTCATTTCTCGGCCAGCAAGACAGCACCTCACTCAGGATTTCATGGGGTAAATGTCAAGAATTTGACTGCATTTTCCCAGACTTCAGATTCTCTTGTCTGTTCAGCCTCATCAGTAACGTAAGCATGAAGAGTACATTTGCAATTACAGGAACTCAGTAGATACCAATATCTTTTGAAGGCAATCTTGACAGCAACATTGCAACGTCATATATGCATCCACAGCTTAGCAAAAGATATGATTTTCTATTTGACCATAATCTTTTCCCTTTACCGAAACTATTTCAAACCAATGCCAGACATCACAAACCTGATGGTTTCTTGGAGTGCTACTTAGAATGGCTGGATTTTCTCACAGCTTATAGGGTCTGCACATTTGAGTTTGTCCTGATAACCATGCTGTCATTTCATGTCTACATCCCTCAGCATATTATTACTTCCTCCAGTCCAGTTGACCTTTTTTTGTTTTACAGGTCAAATCTGATTTTACATCATGTGTTCTTAGTGTTGGCTCTCTAGACAAGTTGTGAAGTTATATGAAACACCACACAAGCACACACACAAAAAATACTTTGACTTGCTGTGGTCTTCTTAGCTAGATCCTCTGGGTCTGCTTTGAAATTCGCCTTTTAGTCCCTTCCAAAAACATAAACATACCCATAGCTGATTTTTGCTTTGTAAATTCTCGCATAGATAAAGCATAATGACTCAGAACTAAAGGCATGATTCTTGGCTCTGGGTGTGCAGTAAGAATATTTTCTCCTACTAGAATTCTGCTGAGCCACTTTGCTTTGCACTGAGTTGCAACTGCTTCCAGACTCGCTGCAGACAAATATCATCATTGCCATTTGTTTACACTCATGTTCTGTCTTTTATCTTTGTATGTATGAACGTTTGCTTCCCTTTTCAGAAGGAAACTGTTTTGATAAAACTATCTTAATCAGAAAGTACTCATTGATTTGTCAAGTGAATAGAGGTCCTCTTTAGTTACCTCACTCATTACATTACTGTTTTAGTATGGTCCCAAAAATAAACCATATCAAAATGCTTTTATCTGTGACCTGGCACAAAGAAGGAACAAAAAGGCGGTACGTGCTCCTGGAAGCTGCAGTCTAAGCGTAAGACTGGGGATAGTGAACGTACACAAACAGCTTGAGGTGGTGAGAGAAGAAATGGGAAGGAAAATAAAAATTCAATAACAAACGCATAACTGAAAAAGTGTCAGTTGTCTCAGGCGTCAACCAACTTATTGCATTTTCTATAAGTAGAGGTTTTTGCACAAATCGAGGTATTGATAAGGATTCTTAATAGTTTCAGCTAATATCTTTAAGTCTTGTTTGTGCACTTGCTGGAGGTACAGTCTTGACAATGACAGGCATCAAGGAGAACAGTTTTTCAGATTGTCCGTAGAGTCTCGTTCCAGGCTAAAGAACTCAGGAGTCTCTTATATTACTAACTCCAGGTACGGCATAACACACTCGCGTGTTGGTAAAGCAAGTCAAGCTTACCTCCTGTCTCAGATGGCCTGCGAAGATCAGCAGGAGCTGAAAGATATTCTACCGTTTCACTAGAAAGTTTCTAAGGCATTTTCCATTGCAGGCTTAGTCACATTTCAGTCAGCTGAAGTTCACATAATCAGTGGACCTGGAATCTGACATCCCATCAGCATTTCCTTTTGACCCACAGTAAAACTTTCACAATCATGAATAAGCATTTACACCATTTTCTAAATTACAGACCAGCACATCGATTGAATGTTGTTCTCCATCTGTTTCAAGGTCATATTAACAGTTAAAAAACAACCCAGCCTCACAGTGTTCCCTGGTCCTACTATGAAGTTTGTATGCCATGCTATTGGAAAGTATCTCCAAAACAGTAAAAGTGCGTTTCTTTGAAGATGGATAGGAAACAGATGCCAGTGGGCTGCCTTAAGTTTAATGTATGTCACAAATTGAGGAACCTCACTTTTGGAAGTCACTGCCTCTGCCAGTGGAAATTGTATTTACGCTCTAATGGGAATGAAAACTTCATTTTCTTTCCTTTGAAGAGAGACTCTAAACATTCTTCAGACATTTCCTATTTAATAAGGGAAACTGGAGAAAGGCATCTTGATAAATCATATAGTAGATGTAAAAGCTATCCAAGAAAGCATTATTCTGAGACTGTTCTACATATAAGTTACAAAGAAGTATTTATATTAAATAAAATTGCCTTCTTTTATTTACTTAATGTGAATAGGGATAACAAGCAGAACGTTATACCTGTGTAGCAATAATTTTATTTCACTTTTACTTAAGTATGTAGAAGGCTTTTTTACATATAAACATGTTCCCTCTTTGTTGATATGATGATGAGTTTCTAATAACTCTTGCTGAAAAACAATTAGATTAGTGCTTTAGAATATAAATTTAAAAATAGAGTCACTGTTTTCTTGTAGGGCTTTTTTTCAGCAGGTTTACCTATCTAAACAAAAAGAACACATCTCAACTCTTCTGCTTTCCTCCACTTATCCATATATAACAACAAACTTGTGTCAGAAATACGCTGGGATACTTGAGAGAGAAAATATTTAATTAGATAGTTAAGTTTATAGCCCTGATAAGTCACATGTTTGTTCAGCTTTCCAAAAAATGTAAAATGAATTAGATGAGAAGGGAAGCAAACAATAATACTTTTTACATTAATATCCACAGGCACAGTAAATTTTATAAAGACGTCATTTCAATAACTTGCACACAATCTCTAGCTTATTTCAACACTGGAGGCTTTAAAAAGTCTTGATTTTGAATCTGATTTCCTGGACCTCTGACGGATCGGTACATCAGGCAGTCTTCAGATACATAATTGATTAAAATTCAGTCATTTTGATGATAACTGTGTGTTAATTGTGATGGGGTGACATCACGCCAAGATGTGAACAAACTGCAGCTTTTCTGCACAAGCATTCCACAGCATGCAATCAAAAATAATCTATAATTAAGCTGAATGCTTCTTCCTCACCTATATAAAGCTTGCTGAGCAGAAGACAGCCATGTGAAGAGGAGAGTTCAATGGACATTATTCTGATCTATGGTATAAAAATGCAGATTAGCCCATTACTTCAGTGTAATTACTCTGATTTGTTCAAGGGTGAGCAAGAGCATAATGATTCCCTATCTGTTCTGTAAAAGAAAATAAAGTGAAATACCAAAAATTAAAAGGAGTAGGCTTTCTGCCACAGGTAAACAAATAAATTGTTATGCCTATTACCTCTAGGCACAATAAAATAAACATTAAACCCTATATTGAATTACAATTTAAGATTTAGCTTTCTCATATTACAGCTAGCAACAACCAGTGTTAGAGAATATTATTAGATTGTAAATGGTCTCAGTGTGCCAATAACGTATTTAGCATAATAGCAATATTTCTTTATTAACCCATTTCTTATTTTCGATTTCAAGTTTTACAATTACGATGCAAGAATTTACCTATAATTAAAAAAATGCATTCATTCAAGATAATTAACTATTTCGTATTTGTCAGAGAATATTAAACCCTTCTCTTGTGTTTTCCTCTTAGATTACAAATTTATTTAGTTTGTTAATAACTGAAGCTTACAGTTACTGCTGCATGACTATCTTGCCATCTTGTTTACATGGTCCAGGCCACAGCAGAGTGTCTGGGGTTCTCTTCCAGCTATCTGTCCTCACAGCTGTCCGACAGCTACAAAATGGACTGAACCACTGAGGATCTTAATTCCTTTCACTAGGTGCAAGGTGTGGCTTTGGTATGCATGGCCTTTTTATTTTATAGTCCTCATACTCCAATCTGCAAAGACTGAATGAACCCTCCAGAGAGGAAAGTCCAGACTCCCATAGGCGCTTAGGAGACTAAATCCAATGAAACCGAAGCCTTTGGAAATCTGATCTTAAAGGAAGTCTTGAGCACAGAGCATTTGCAGTTAAATCTGGACCTCCTACCATTCAGTGTAATCTCCTAACAGCTGGGCTGTGCTTGCTCTCTGCACAGCGACAGCGGTCCGCACATGGCCTTGAGTAATGTTCTCCATCCCACGTGCAGGAGCTGTGACTCTCACTGAACGACACCTAGGCTGGGAAGAGGAGCCAGGACCTCCTGCAGGGCAGGCTGTATAGGCACATTTGCAGGCTCAGTTGCTGGCAGAAAAAACTGAGTTTGCACAAGACAAATTGTAAAGAACAAAAACTGGAAAAGCTCCAAAATGGAAAAAAGTGCCACTGCAAAGGCACAGAATTGTCACGATAGTTAGACATCTAAATTCAAAATTTGTAATGCATTCATCCAACCGAGGGCTCACATTAGTCTGAACTGTTGTCACCCGTTGACTGTTGACTGTGTATCTACCACACAACAAACAAGCCTTGGTGGAAGAAAGAGAAGTCCCTTTCTGCCTCCTAGCACAGCAGTATGCTAGTACTGCTTGGCCTGGCTGAAAAATCGCTTTTTGCCTGTTGATTTGGTGCCATACATGATGATTCAGGACCTCAAAACAAACACCCACTATCTGTCGAAGCCCTGGAAGTGCCGAAGTTGTTTTTGATACTGCACTTTCACAATATGCTGCCCAACATTACAGACACCTCCTCTGCTTGTGAAGAGCTCCAAAGTCTCTTTAGAAGTGGCTTGGAGGATGTAGGACTTCATTCTCCTGGCAGACAGTAGGAAAGATGTCCCCTGGAAAGTAGATGCTGGTGTGAATGTGGAGATTGCAAGAAGTAGCCTTCTGATAAGAACACCCAGGGAGGGTCCTATGGCAAAGCAGACCAGTGAGGCTTTTACTGTTTGTACCACCTATGATATTTCAAAGCAGATTTTGCCAATCTTTGCCTACCCGTGGCTACTCTCAGCGGTCTCATGATGGAGCTGTGCATCCCCGGGGCAGTGCTCCCCGTGCCGTCCCCCACCGCCTGGGGACTGACGCTGTGCAGGAGCACCGGGAAGAGGCAAGGGTACCGCTGTGGGACAGGTCAGCGAAACACCGAGGGGCACCCTTCCCTGCTCTGGTGTGCAAGCAGAATAAAGATGTTAAACGCTGCAAAAGGCTTAGAGAAGAGCTATGTAAATGATTCATGAGCCGGAGAGCATGCTTTTCGCAAGGGAACGAGGGGCTTTGATTTGTTAGCTTATTGAAGTGAAAGCTGAGAAGGAGCGTCAGCCTGAGTCAAGAAAAAAACCTGTTTCATCTAGTTTCAGGGCCTAATAAGATCCAGTGACTGGGAGTTCAAGCTAGTCTAGTTCAAACCTGGGCTCATAGAAGAAAGTAAAAAGTGGAGGATAATTGAATGCTGGACTGCGGCAGCACAGGAAGCAACACGTTCTCTACTGCTCTGACTCTCGCATTTTAAAAAACAGCGGTTGCCATTGTGAAAGAGCTGCTGTAGCTCAGCTAAGCCCTGTTTGGGTTTTGCAGGAGCCGCTGGTGATGCGCCATGACCATGGAGTTGGCCATTCACAAGAGCAATGGGAAAAGGCAGCATCTGCTCGAGCCGGATGATACGCTGCCTGTTTATCAGAGGTCTGCTAGTAACCGCTGCAAAAGCATGGGCCCATGAGTTAAAACAGGGTTCGCTTCGCAGTTGTTCCCACCTCCACAGCTAAACGGAGCACAGTCCCCCCAAGAAACCGCATGATCCTGTAATGGCCCTTGCTTGCCATGGGGACCTACGTGGTTTTTAACTTTTTCTTGCCAGAGCGGACATGCCATTTGCTTGCAGTCCAGCACCGTTTTGCAGAGGAGCGCAGCCCTCTCAGCTCCCTTGCCATGGCTGGAAAGAGAAGTGGTGGCTTCTGTGATCCCTGGAGGGAGGGAAATAGCTTTGGAAGGGAAGCAAATCCTCTGCTGCCTCTCTGAGTAGGCTGCTGACCACCCTGCTGCAAAGCACATCGTGTGACGCCGCCCTTTGGCAACCCTTTTTCAGGAATACCACAAGGTGTGTAAGCGCTTCCCCACCACTACCCTCTTGGTTTTATTTTTGACTCGCTGAAACTACGGGAAGTTGCCAGCCACTTCAGCTCATAGTAACTGTCATACTGTCCAGTTATCGGTGGTCCCATTGACTTCTTTATTCGTGCTGGTTGCTGAGCTGCTCAAATGCACAGAAGTGGTAAAAATAGGGGGTATGGAAAGCTCAAATGTTACTTCCATTCTGTCCAGAAAAATACATTTTATCTGCTGCAGTATCCACCGTTACAGTGCTTTTTGGCTGCTTTGGCTGCTCGATACTGGGATCTAGCACTGACCTATTTCTTTGTCAGAAAGGCCCACAGGTCTTCCTACAGACACCAGCAAAGGGAATTTTATGTAAGCAAATCATCCTCTTCAAGGCACTCTAACACCTTCTGCTACCACTCAGGATATGTTCAGCTGAAGCATCCCAATGAGCTTTATTTCCACACAGTTACAGACAGGCCCACTTGTGTCTTTAATCTCTTTTTTTTTTTTTTTTTTATCTTTATTTACAATAGGCACACACCTTCGCCCTGTGTTGAGAACTCTCTTTTCCCCTGGGAACTCTTCTTTCTCGTGCCAGTATCTGGCAGGCTCTGGGAACACATGCAGTTCAGAAAAACAGATGGGTTGCAACCTACCAGGTCATTCAGCAGCTAGGAAATTTAATCTTTATGCCATCGTTTTTCTTTCTCCCTATTTAAAATGGCTTGGTCATTCTGTAGTAATCTTTCTGGTGCTAGTGACAAGGCTGAATTGTCAGTCCTGTCACTGTGGTTACATCAGGAATGGAAAGAAACAAAATAGACTTAGAAAAATACCTGTTGCTGCTCAGCTCAGTTCTGCAATTACTTGATGTTACCCACAGTAAATTAGTCAATTTTAGACCATCAGTGTTGGCCAAACATTACATCATAACAATCCTCAAGAGTGACCAAAGCATCTACATTTTACTGCTGGATACCCCCATCTATTTGGGTGAAATACTGACTCACCATGCCTAGGGGTCTGTTCTCACTTTTCATCTCATTTAGGGTAGCAATGAGAAACAAGGATTCATGTCCCAGAAACTTCCTTCCATAAAACTGTGCTTTTGGCTGGACCTCTCCGTTCAATCTACTGTAACTAAATAAAAACAATCTCCTTTTAAAGAAATCTTTCCTATTTCCTTTTGTTTCTAAAGTAACTGCATTTGAGCATCCATCCCTACCCCCAATGAAAGCAGCACGCAACATGCTGTACCAGGGGAAAATTTTGCTTGCATAATGGCAACGATGTTTATAGGCTTTTTAAAATCTCTGAACACTGCTTCAGACCCCTCAGCATCACCCACAGGTAAAGCATTGGAAAAGAGGTAGAGATAATGCTCCTTCCCTCCCTCCAATTTCTAGCATCACTTGCATTTCCCCCTTGGTGTTTCACTTACCATTCCCTTTCCACATCTCCTAGCTGGACAACCTTTTTAACGTGGCCCGGGACACACGGAGCTCATAGATATCTATGTACTGAGTCAGCCTGAACTCAAACACTTTCCTTTGCAAATCCCAGGCAATTCTAAGTTTCAAGGAGAGTAAAGTAGGATCACTCACTATGGAAAACATAAACTTCATCCTTCTGTCCCCACCAGAGTGGGAGCAGAGGGGCAGTGATCATAGGGGCACGGCGAGGGGTCAGAAACTGGGGTGAGCTTCTTCTATTTCTAAATACTGAAACCTAAAATAAGCTGCAGCATCAAGAAAATGCTTTGAATGTTAACAGGTACATCCATCCAGTACGGAGAGTGAGTACACTCTCACTTACGAATTACAGAAGATCACTTTTCTCCACCTCTCTGAATTAAAGAAGAGCATCTGCATACAGATGAGTAATTTCTGGCTAATTTCACATCCAGTAGGCAGTTTATTTCATTCATTCAAGTTGACCCTTATCAACCTCAAGCTAATGAAAAGTGCCAGCAACAATTCTGGGGAAACAACTTATTTGGAGAGTTAGCACTAGTTGCTTTCAGCTGTGGAGCCAATATTGACAACTGATGCTGAAAAGCTGCGGATGAAAACCACTTCTTGCATCAAGAGGTACAAAATGATGGCTTGGGTCAACGGCCAGCCATGTGCTCACTGCCTGTGGTCCCCAGAAGCAGCCAGGCCTCATCAAAGCAGATACCCACCTCATTTTCCACGCTGCTGCCCAACGTAACGTGTCGGTACCTATTCAAAGAGTTTTTCTGTGGAAGGGGAGAAA